TTCTCAGGGGTGATTTATTTATTTATTTTTTAAATAAAGGTAACAAAAGTAACCAGGAAGGGGTATTCTTTTAGTCCCTGCACCTGCCTTGGCAGAGTTTTTCATCCTGGTAGGCACATAAAGAATATTTACAATTCTCATGAATAATTTAAACATCTGAAACAACAGATGTGGGTACATATTGTAAGTCACACTGGTGATAAAGGAAAATGACTTGGAAAATGACTTATTTTTAGTATGAATTGCTTTTCAGAACTTCTGTTTTATGTTTTTTTTTTTGGCTTTAAGGTTAGACAGTATAGTTTATGATTATATAATATATATATATATTTGTTATATATATTTGTTTTATATATATATATATAAAACAAATACAAAACCTTGAACATTTAAAACAGGAAAGAAACATTTGTACATCTAGAGATGCATTTTGGGGAAGCAAATTAAATGAATTTGGATCAGTGGTGAACTAGGTACTTTTGGAGTTTTTTTTTTTAATTTTAATATTCAATGACTAGATAATGCATTTACAAATTTCAGCCACTGCCTGGCTTTAGGTCTAGTTACTGAGAAAGTTAAAATAAATAGCTTTTTTTTTCCTGTAGCAGGCATGGTGTTCATAAAGTCAGCTCGACGCCACCATTTGACAGACTGCCTCAACCATTCTGAGGCTGTAGCTGCTGCTTCCCAGAATCCCTGATGATTTCCAATTGCAGAGTCTTCCGCAGAAGCCCGCTTTTCCTCGAAGACCCCCCACATCTACAGCACGAGTGTTCCATGTATAGGAAGGGTAGCGGCCAGTGCCTTGGGGTGACACTGAATTTCCCAGAGGCTCAAGCTTGTGTGTCCACCTTCAGACACATGGCAGGAGCTCACCAGTGGGACTGTGATTGGCGGCACTCACGAACTACTAGTTGAACAGTTTGCTCATTCTCTCCCTTTCATTCAAGGCCCCTGGCTGAAATGCTTTGAAGCATTTATATGGCCACCTTGATCAACTTAATTAGAAGAGGTAAGTAAAAAGCAAACATGTCATTAATTCTCGTCTTACTCCTTATTTGAATTGAGATTTGTGTATGATTAAAATTAAGGAAGTAAACAAACACAAACAAAAAAGAAAAAGATTGAAATTTACTCATCTTGTTTTAGTGGCCATTGATGATGATGTTCTAAAAGCCAGTCACTTAACAAAATGTGTTTTGAGAAATCAGTTGCCTTTTTTACTTGTTTCTTTTTGTATTGCCTTTCTTCCCAAATAAGGTAAGACCATTTTATTTCTGTCTTATAAATAACACGCTTTCAAATACTCTGTTGCATTCAATTTGATCCCAGTTTTAAGCTTTATAAAACTAACAATTATATGAAAGTAAAAGCTGAATGATACCATTATATCTACTTCAGGTATTCTGTTTACAGGTATCACTTTGATAACAGATGTCACAACTAAAATGTGCAGTCAAAAAGAACGTGGTATAAACACAAGAACCATGTTCTTCTTTTGCATTATATGTAGAAAGTGGTATTTATTGTTAATTAATGGGGTGGGATGAGGTTGTTTGACTAAAATCACTGGGAAATTGTTCTATTTAAAATGACTCAAGTTTTGCAAGGAGTTAATCTCGGCTCAGAGTTTCATATGCTAACACATGTGATCCAGATATGTAGAAGAACAATTTAAATAAATTATTAGCATTATAGTTTGGATCTGGAGGGACCCCCAGAGGCCCATGTGTGGAAGGCTTGGTCTCTAACCTGTGGCGCTATTGGGAGGTGGTGGGAATTTTCGGAGGTGGGGCCTAGTGGAAGAGAGTTAAGAAAAATTGGCAGCTTGGCTTTCTGGCTGCCACCAGTGAGCAGCTCTCTGGGTACACTCCTGCTGTGATGTGCCGGGCTGCCATAGGCCCAAAGCAATAGTGCCAACTAACTTTGCACCCTGACCTCTGAGACTGAGCCAAAATACACCTTTCCTCCTATAAGTTGTTTATCTCTTTATTGGTCACAGTGACAAAGAGCTGACTAACAGCTCTCTGGCTGTAAAGGCAGTTGTTAAGCACGATGCTTTCTGTTTTCTCCTTTAGCACCAGTCTTCCTTATGGCTGGACCCAGTGATATTTAAGTCAAAGAGTTCAAATTCCTTTTTTTTTTTTTTAAGAAATAACTTTGTGTGTTATCCCACCAGTTTTTGCTGCTGTTTATGAGTTCTTAAGGTTTCAAATTTGAACTAAGATCTGATACAATAAGGTCATTACTATGAAGTCATCCAATCTCCTAATTTGTATGAGTAGAAAAAAATTCCTATCAGAGAGCTTTTTGTCTTCTTTTGCCAGGGCAGGAGAACTGTGATTGAGCTTTTTGCTTTGGTAGATTATTTTCTCTTCTAGAGTGATCACAGGAAATCAAGCTAGTATTTCCTAGTAATTCATTTTTTTTTTGAGTTA